CAAGCTACATTCTTTTGAATGGTGGAAATACTCCTAAAGTGATCCAAATGCTATCTGGCAAATWATAGGAAGGTTCAAGCTGGAAAGTAGAGATTGCCCTGTCATGCACTCCTTACACTGCCCCTGCTGATGTTTCCTAAAGAAGTATGGCCATCACATTTTGAGCAGGGCCACAGCGGAATGACTGGGTGGCAACATCCCACCTGCCTCCCCTCAACAGTGTATTGTATAATATGTTTGCAAAGTAGGATGAGAAAACCTCCAAAATGTTACTTGGTAGTCATAACACCCATGTCAAGGTGTAAGAAGCAAAACCTTCCCGTGATACAATTCTTATGTTGTACAAAGCAAATATTTTTTAAAAATATCATATGGTGGAGATAAAAATCAATAAACAATGTCATGTTGTAGAGATAAAAATCAATACCTGTGACAGAAAAACCAAAACTACACATAGCCTACACTGAAGAAAAGAAAAAAAATACATAAGTCTCAGATCTCTTATTTCAATAAATAAACATTTGCTTTTCTGTATAGGAGCTCCCATCCTATACATATTCTTCTATATAAAATTATAAACAAATATATCCCCCAAGGAATTGCTTGGAAGGATGTGTCTAACATCTGTCTGATTCACAGACAAGTGTTTTCAGATAACCTGCTGGAGAACAGGTATCTAGTCAATGTTCTGTGTATTCCTCTATTCCATTTATTTTAATAAAATGTGGTTCCTTGGGACCATTTTATCCAGGTTTCATTGGGTCCTACCTCCTCACAATAAGCAACAATCAAGAGAGGGAGATAAGGAAAGATGTTGGTTAAAACGTATAAAGTCACAGCCTGAGAAGAAAATTAAGTTCTGGTACTCCATTCGACTGAAGATAGACATAGTTAATAGTATTGCATTATGTGATTAAAAATAGTTGGAAGAGAGGATTTTGAATTTCTCATCACAAAGAAATGGTGAATGTCTGAGATACGAATAGCCTGTCTTCTGGATTGATCAATACACAATGTAAAAATGTACCAAAGCATCATACTATGCTCCCCATAAAGATACACAATCATCTATCAATTAAAAGGGAGTGGCCATCATCCCAAATGGCTATGAGTGCTTAGGTTTTCGTGATGAACAGTGTGAATACATTCATATTTAGAGATGCAACAAGAATTCTTCAATGAGATCATGAGTATGTCACATGGAACCATTAGTCAAAAAAATGTCCACTTAATTGGTCAAAAGACAAACAAGAGGGTCATCAGCACCTGGCAGGGTATATAAAGGGCCCAGAGAAGGAAGAAGACATCACACTGAGAACCTCCACCTCCTCTCAAGTCCTCAACACCACTCCAGCCCACACTCCACCATGACCGGCTCCTGCTCCTCCCAGAGCTGTGGAGGCTGCTGCCAGCCCTGCTGCTTCCGCGACCCCTGCTGCTGCCGCCCAGTGTCCTGCCAGACCACCGTGTGCCGCCCTGTGACCTGTGTGCCCCGCTACACGCGCCCCATCTGTGAGCCCTCTGGCCGCCCCATCTGCTGCGACCCCTGTGGCCTGCAGGAAGGCTGCTGCCGCCCCATCACCTGCTGCCCAACGTCCTGCACGGCTGTGGTCTGCAGACCCTGCTGCTGGACCTCCACCAGCTGCCAGCCCATCAGTGTGCAGGCGCCCTGCTGCCGCCCCCACTGCTGCCAGCCTGCGCCCTGCCGCACCACCTGCAGGACCTCCCACTGCAACTCCTGCTGCTAAGAAGTGAGCTGACTCCCAAGCAAGCCATCAACCTTCTGAAACTTGAATTTCCATTTCTCTACCTAACAAACTCCTGACCTGAGCCACCAAGAYCCTAAACCAACCTGCCTGCGAAAGGAGACCTGAACTCATCTCTTAAGACTTGGRATGGTCTCAAGTCTCTGAATAGAAGTAATGTCCTTATTTCCATCTTGGAGCTAAGGACTTGGGGGATGTTTATTTTCTAATAAACTYGACTTCTTTGGCCTCACAAATGCTGGCTTTGGTTTTATTTACTAATGCTAAATGTTACATTAAATTTCAACTCAGTGAAAACTGTGCTGGTTGCCTACCATCTGCATGGTATACCAAAGACATTAAAACTGACCTAAAAATGTTCCCCTCTCTTTAAAACATTTCTATGGGGATGAGTGAAATCCACCATAATTTGACAAAAGAGTATAGCATGAAAAAATAAAAGTAAAAGATACTACACAATATCACCAGATAAGTCACTGTTGATTGGAGAGAAAAAGAAAGATTGAAAAAAGCTAGAATTTTCTATGAGTTAAGGTTCTGGCATCCAGGAAGGGCACCAAAATTATGGGCAAAATTACAGAGGGAGGTACCATAGAGTTGTGCAGAGGAAAGTCAGGCTAGGAGCACTGGATATATGTAGAGTGATAGTATAAGAAAAATTTGAAAAAATGTGTATGATTTACATATTAGTCAAAGGAGTRGGTAAGCAAACACTAAGGGGCTGTTGAAAGCTTTGGGGCAGGAATTGACATGATAGTATGATGTCTATGGAAGCTCCTTAAAATGACAGAGGTCAAGTCCACAGATTTAAAAAAAAAAAAAACATACAGAAACTAATCAGGAGGCTATTGCCCTGGCGCAAGTGACATAAGAGCTGAATTAAGATGATGGCTGTGGATTAAGAACACATGATGAATATGACAGATTGGAAACCCAGAAAGCAAATTCACTAAGTTGGAAACATGGAACCATTAGGGAACCAGATGTGATATGTTGCATTTCTGAGGGAAACTCTTCTGGTCTGCAAACAAAAGAATTTTAACATATTTGCATTTATTTACTATGAATTTAAAATYACTGCTCCACAATATATTCTTCCCACCATCCTATATTTCTCTTCTTGAGCTATTCTAAAATATTCAAAATAAAAGCAGGAGACACGGAGTTTTACTAATGCTCATTAATCCTGGAAATCAGCATGGCATAAAGAAAAAAGAAGTGGTCTAAGAAAGAGCGGGTAGGAATTTTATACCCAACTCTTCTGGCTACAGGCTGTAGCAATGCAGAAAGTCATTCAACTTTTCCAAAATGTATTTATTCCCAGACTCAACAGTATTCTAGCATAAACTAAAAAATAAAGTAGAAGTGGTCCATACCACAACAGCAGTGTTCCAATTTAGAACTCTGATGCCATATGRTTGACACATTTTCTTGATTAATGCTTCCTATTGATACCACACTGATTTGTGCACTAGAGCAAGATATGAGACAAATAAGATCTTGTGTTCTTTGCAAATCCTTAGTGCTCTGTGAATAGTAAAATTAAACAAACATGCTATTTATATTAAGAATGATGTCAGGCTGGGCATGGTAATACATGCCTATAATCCCATCGGCTCAGAAGGCTGAGGAAGGAAGATCATGAGTTCAAAGCCTCAGCAATGGCGAGGCACTGAGCAGCTCAGTGAGACCCTGTCTCTAAATAAAATACAAAATAGGGCTGGGGCTTGGGATGTGGCTCAGTGGTCAAGTGCCCCTGAGTTCAATCCCTGGTCTTCCCCCAAACAAATAAAACAGATGTCAGTTTCTACACCTACAATATTAAGAGGTTRGAAATGATGATTTATTTATCTTTAACCTCCACTATTCAATGATTACATGTAATCATACCTACTGACATGGTTACCATAATATGAACTGGCATGAATCATATTCCATTGTAATTCTATTTAATATACAAACTGATATCTCATAAAAACTTGTGTTCTTCTACTTATTATTAGAAGGAAAGAATAAACGTATCACAGGTAGCAACATGTTTTCTTGGTCAACACTTTTTTTCATGTAACCCTAAACAKTGAAAAGCCATGTTCTTTTTTTGGCAACTACCAGGAGTTGCTTAAACTTTTGCTAAAATTTGCCTTTTTKTTTTTTAACAGTTACCAAATAATAAAGTCTACCATAAGAAACTATAAAGCAGCTGAAATTTGTTCTAAAGCTTTTGAATTTATAAACTATTTAAGTACGATTGATCATTCATTTCCTAAACCGCCTTCTGTTGTGATCTAGAAAAAAAGAAAAGAAAAAACTTTTTTCTTTCTTTGTTTCCTTTTMATAAGTCCAACTGTCATGCTCTTTGGTCCAATATCATTTTATAAAACRCATGTGTAGTAACATAAAGTGACCTAAACTGAAAGTAAATCCTGCCTTTGAGAAATAAATGCATCTAAACAATCCATATAGCAATGATGTTCACCTTTTGTGGAGCTTTTAATAAACTTCTCTACAGATATTTGGTGATTTTTCACAGTTATTCAATATTAATTTTATCCTATTTCTTATTAAATTGGAATGGAATAGCTTTGTTCCATCCACCCTCTTGAGTTATAGATGTTTTCTCAAGTATGACTGTCTGAAGTTTAGGAGAGATCACAGAAATTGAAAGGATGCAATATCTAAAGTGATCTATGAATTTCTATGAATGTGGAGTTGATCAGAGTTTCTGCCTAGCTTATTGTAGAAACTATAATCTTACCAATCTAAAAATATAAATATAGCCTTCATCTAAGTGGCCTGACATGAAGGCACTCCTTGATTAATAGTTCTTTTCTGGAAATTTTAGTTCTGGTGAATATGATCTCAAAGTCACAACATCGTATAGGTAAGAGTCACCTTGTCAGATGCCACAACCACAAGCACAAAACCAATTCTGAGGTTTGAATGGAAATTACGGCATTGTTTGAAAATGAAACATCAACATTGCCACCAAGGACGAACACATTTAGTGAGCATTAGCTGAGCAACAAGGAAAAACCTATTTGGAGTTATGTTTAAAGCAACTCAGCATTTGAATAATCAGAGGGCCCTTAAAAAACTGGTTTAAAGACTAATAAGATAAAAATGCCGTCACAAACAGAGGACTGGCCAAGGCTTATAAAAAGCCCGAGGTGGAWTAAGAAGCCATAACTCAGAAACATCTTTTGCAACACAACTCTCAACCTGACTCCTGACACCATGGCCTGCTGCTCCACCAGCTTCTGCGGATTCCCCAGCTGCTCCACCAGTGGGAACTGTGGCGCCAGCTGCTGCCGCCCCAACTGCTGCCAGACCGGCTGCTGCCAGCCCAGCGGCTGCCAGGATAGCTGCTCCCAGCCCAGCTGCTSCCAGMCCAGCTGCTCCCAGMCCAGCTGCTSCCAGACCAGCCGCTGCCAACCCAGCTGCTGCCAGACCAGCTGCTGTGGCTCCGGCTGTGGCTCTGGGAGTGGAATTGGAGGTGGCCAGGGTGGAGCCCTGAGCTGCCGCACCAGGTGGTGCCGCCCAGACTGYCGCGTGGAGGGCACCTGCCTGCCACCCTGCTGCGTGGCGAGCTGCACACCCCCCACCTGCTGCCAGCTGCACCATGCCCAGGCCTCCTGCTGCCGCCCATCCTACTGTGGACAGTCCTGCTGCCGCCCAGCCTGCTGCTGCTACAGCTGCCCACCACCCAACTGCTGTGAGCCCACCTGTTAAAACTTCCTTCTGAGAAGAATATCAAGAAGACGGCACTTCAAACTAACCAATGTAGAGTTCCAACAAATTTCTGAACTCCAATACCCATAACCCAGCTCACAACTCCTTGTCACACAGGTACATGATTTCCCTAGGARGTAGAATCATTTTTGGTGGAAGATCAAAAACTTTTCATAGACCTTAGCATCAACAGAAGTCCTACAATCTGAAAAGGGATGTGTGATATTTTACTATAAATGTCATTTAAATTGTTTCAACAGCTTCTTGGGACTAGAATTTAATAAAAGCCATCTTTTCAATGATGAGTCGTTGTTAGAATTTTATTTTCTTTGGAATCTGTTAAATATGGGTTTTTTCAAAATCTCTACAAAKCTCTATAGTTTTTCTTTATTTTTATTCTTTTCATAACGATCTTTGAAAGTGGGTTTTTGTTTTATTTTGTTTTGCTAGTAAATGGCCCAATATTCTTCAGCCAAAGTACACAGTTAAAAGAACCCAATGCATTTATGTAGAATAAATAAATAAATAAGTACACAATAGTAGTCAGCAACTGTTTCCCAACACCCTCACATGTACAAAGTGGTGGGCTCAGTATTAGAAAATATCAGTTTTTCAAAAAAGGAAGTTCTTGTGATTCAGCTTTTTGAGGTGCTGCTAAACCCATCCATGCATCTATTTGAGTTGGTGTATAATTCTTTCAATATCAAAGGTATACAAAAGCAAATGCAAACTGAGGAAGATCATAAACACAAGGTTGTAAAACATCACCATAAGATGTAGAGGCGTCCTGATTTCTAGTCCCAGCTTTGTAACTAAATCCCTGACTTTCTTTTTCTTTGTTGTTCATTCGTTTTGGTACGGGGGATTAGACTCAGGGACACTATACCGCTGAGCCATATCTTTTTTAAGCTTTATTTTGAGAAAGAGTCTTGCAAAAGTGTCCAGGCTGGCCTTGAACTTTTTATCATCCTGCCTCAGCCTCCTGAGTAGCTGGGATTACAGGTGTGCTGTCCCTGCCCCCAGTTCAATTCATGACTTCTTGGGCAAGTCACTCCACTTACCAGGACAACCACTTCTTCCACTTCTTTTTTATTTTTTATCTCTTATGGGTATATATTAATTATACAGACTAAAGAGTCTCATTGTGGCATATTTGTACATATATGTGTGTGTGTGTGTGTGTATATATATATATATATATATATATATATATAATAATTCAATTAGTTGAACTTCCCGTGACCTCCATGAATTCTCTCCCTCTCACCCCTTTCTCTACCCCCGTGATCTACCTTCCGCTTTCACATCATTTCTTTTCTTTTTCCTTATAGATTCCAAATGAGAGGAAACACATGACACTTGTTTTTCTGAGTCTGACTTATTTCAACTTAGCATGTTCATACACAAATAGATAACTTCCTAAACAGGTGGCATACCGTCAATCCCTTCAGATGTCCCAAGGGGAAAAAAATGTTCAATGATCAAACAATATTCCATGCTTCATCACCATCTTTGAGCCTTACAAAGCACATTAAACTATATAGTATATATATTTAATATACACAAAGCATATTAGACTGTATTGTATGTAATATATACCATATTATAAAGTTTTATATATATTTAATACATTAATACATATTTAATACAAATTTATAAGTATTAATACATTTAACACATACAATACATATATAATATATGAAATATAATAATATATACATAATATGTTTAACATATACATATGTAGCACTTTAGAAAACCAAGTGTCATTAAAGGGACGAGGTGACCTGCAATAAAGAAACCTCTATAGCCATCACTCTCAAATTGATTTAGCCAAAAAATCCTCTGTTCATATTTTGCTTGTTAATATCCTGTCTCTCTAATGCTATTCYAAGCATGCTTTGGGAAATGATGAGAGGGAGTACCAACTGATATTTTCACAATATGTATAAAATCCTCTCATGTATTGTGAAACAGAAAATATGATGTTGGACCATGCACTGTCGATATCACTCTTTTTCTAATTTCCAGAAAGTGTTCTGAAATAAAGCAAAGATAAAATGAGAGATACACAATATTTCCATTCCATAGGATACAATCTTTGGTCATAAAATCAACGTGGCAAGCCACCATGGGAGTCAAGGGACATGGGAGGTGATTACTTTAAAGATCATAGGGTATTCTTCTGGGATGATGAAAAAGTTTTAAAACTGGAGAGGTGGTGGTTGTAGATTAAGGCACTGAATGTCTCTCAATTATATACTTCAACATGATTAATTGATGTTATGTGAATTTCACCTCAATTTACAGTAACTGAAGGAATGTGACCTCCACTCATACAATTTTACCAGAACTAGATAAAGGTGCCATTTTTATCTAGTATGAAGGTATGAAGGTGCCACGTCATACCTGGGCATGCAGCTTATGGAGCCTACAGCATCTTGGTATGAAGAACAATGTGCTCCTTCCTCAGAATGGACAGAACCCCACATCAGGGCACAGCCTGCATTTCTGCACTTAGTGGCTCTAGGGCATGGTCAACATTCTATTCCCCTCATACACAGATTCCTTGTCTCTCATTAGGATAAAAAGGTTTAGTATTGATGTACCTTTCACTTAGAAGGGCTTTAGCTCAGAAGCACCAAAAAGAGCTGGGTTGGCATTCAGGTAAACTGAGAAAGATCCTAATACTTGGCTTGTAATAAAAAGTTGTAGGTGAGAGGAGATCCTTGAAGTGTATTTGCTGTCCAGTCCAGGTCACCAGAACAGGAGCAAGGATGCCCTTGGTGTGCTCCCTTGGTTGATGCATTCACCAGTTCTTATTCCTTGGAAGTCTAAGTGAGGCAGATGCAACTGGATTAGAAAACTAGTAAAATGGAAGTGAAGGATTTGGAAGAACCCCCAAAATTTGTAACTAGAAAACATTATTCCTAACTTCTTTTTTTTAATTTGTTTCGTTACCTTTTTGGTTTGGTATCACAGACTGAACCAGGGCACTTAAACACTGAGCTACATCCCCAGCCCTTTTTATTTTTTATTTTGAGACAAGGTCCCAGTAAGTTGCTAAGGGCTTCCCTAAGTTGCTGAGGCTGGCTTGGAACCGGCAGTCCTTCTGCCTCAGGCTCCCAAGCTGACATAAAGAAAGACACAAAGAAAAGACAACTCAAAACATTAGTGTCTCTCCTAAATAGAGGTCAAATGGTCAAAAATAATAGCCCCAAACATGTCCTTTCTTCTTATGGCACTGGAATGGCCTGAGCCCCCTCAACCTGAAAGAAGTAGTGAAAAACCAAAGAGAATAAGCACAGTAATTTTTTAAAATCTTTTATGTCAAGGTACTGGCATGTTACCCCMAAAAAACAATAGAGTTGTAACACCATGAATGCTTGTGACTTGTTCCTCTATTTCCGTGGACCCAATCAAGAAGACTTGGGTTCAAACGGTAGAAGAAAAGATGCCGCTTAATTCTCATTTTCTTGATTGATTGAGGGGAAGTAAGGGAATGTTCAGATTAGTTTTCATTCTGTTGCTGAGGAATAGAATTCTCACTGTAATGCCAGTGGCTCAGGAGGCTGAGGCAGGAGGATTGGGACTTCCAAGCCAGGCTCGGTAACTCAGCAAGGCCCTAAGTAATTTAGCAAGACCATGTCTCTAAATAAAAATAAATAAATAAAAATGGCTAGGAATGTGGCTCGGTGGTTAAGTGCCCCTRGGTTCAATCCCTGGTACTAAAAAAGAAAAACATAATAATTCCCTAAGGGCAATTCAAGATCAGAACATGGAAACTGAGTTAAATTGAAGAAGATGTTGAAAGCATTACCGTGGTGGAAAAGCCCAGAAATTGAAATCCAAAGTGCAACACTACTATCTACAGTGCTATTATCAATAAAGTATGTCAACTCCTCAAATATCTAAACTTTTTGCAAGCAAAGATTTTTTAATTAGTGTATTATAGCTATACATAATGGTGGGGTTCATTCCGACATAACCATACATGCACGGAATATAATTTGATCCATTTTAGTCCCCAGTACCTTCTCCCTCCCTCCTGTTCTTCCCCTCCCTATTTCCCCTTCTCTACTTCTTTGGCCTTCCCCCTATATAATTATCTTTATAAATTGGTACTTTATAGGGTCTATAAAGGTGGAATTCACTGTGGTACAGGCACACAGTGTAATTTGGTCAAACTCATTCCACTGATCCTCCCTTTTCCTGTCCCTCTCCACTCCCCTTCCAACCCCCTCCCTCTGGGTTTTTCTATCATCTTCATGGAGCTGGTAAAATCTTCTTGAATATCAAAGATTCTGCCAAGTATAGATATAAATTCAATARCTCCTACAAGCGTGACAATGACTAATGCCCATTTTAAGCATCCAAGGAAAGATTAGCACGTCAAAGGAACTYAAGAAGCAGCCAGAAATTCACAAGGAACATGATCTTCTATTTCAAATAGGATGCGAGATTTTCAAATATGTCTTAATTCTGACTTGGGAATAGTTTATGACTTCTGCTCAAAACCTTCATTTCTGGACAAACAGAACAGCACTTGGTATTCTGGTTCAAAGCCCCTGGCTGGCATTTGAACTTCCCTTTCTCTGCAGTACAGCCCATGCTCCATGGAGGCCTGGTCACCTTTAATGCCCTAATGAAACCTTCATCCTTAATGGGCTGGAAAAATTATATGATTTGAATGCGGCAACAGACGAAGGTAGACTAGTCTCTAACATCTACAACGATCCGMATACTGTAGTTCTAACAAACTACTGACACATACTCCATTGTAAATATATTGAATATAACTTTATGCAACTAAAAACATTTAAATTTATAGAATATCCTGAGATAAAAGATTAGGCAAAGTCACAATTAAGTTCACACTTTTGGCACATGGTCATGAAGCTATTAAAAAATAAACAAAATCTCTAGCAAAGTCTCTAATTAACATTGYTATTATTTATGCTAAGCTATACCTCTTCACTCTCAAAAATGTCTGGAAGAAATCACATCTGGACTTCCCCCCTTCGATTTTCCTTAGAACAACTGCTTACTTGAGGGGGAAAAAAAACCGGGAACTAGCTATTGTGGTTCACAATTTAGTCTGGAGTCAGAGAGTGGAAGGTCAGATTCCAGCTTCACACTGGTTGGTGTGACCTTGGACCAGTTAATTAAATCTGTCTGTGGCTCATTTTCCTCWCCTGGATTATCAGAGTAGCAGTGATACCCACCCCATAAGATTGCTGAGAAAATTAAGTGAATTGATACATGTAAGGTATTTGGAACATTGAGGTATATAACAAGCACTCCCAAAATGTTACAAATGACAACCCATTCACATTTACCAGTATGAAAGAAAGCATCCCTTTTCTGACCAGTTTAATCTAGTCTTGCTTCACAGCTAAAGTGAAGATGAGAAAGAGAAGGAGCAGCCATTAATATTGGGGGCCATGGGCTAGGAATTGAACTCCCATGGGAGACCCTACTACCCAGTTATAAGGGTCAAACTTGAGTAACATTGACACTCCTTAAAGGTGAGCAGCATYAGTCAATTATCCTTTGGGCAATGGAAAAACTTTAGGGGTTATGCTCTCAACGAACGCTAGTGACTACTGCACCATGATACAGAATCCTAATTGAAAGCCAAATAAAATCAACTTTTAAAGGCTTTAAGAAGGTTGACCAAATAACTCAGGAACAGGACAATTAGCATTCAGAGGCAAATTATCTAAACACAAACAAGGAAAAGACTTTGGGAATAAGGAAAAGAGAAGCTGACCAAGGATTATAAAAGGCCCCATGTGGCAGTCACTGCTAAAATTCAAGAACTTCTCTAAGCCACACAATCCTCAAGCCAACCCCTGACACCATGGCCTGCTGCTCCACCAGCTTCTGCGGATTCCCCAGCTGCTCCACCAGTGGGAACTGTGGCGCCAGCTGCTGCCGCCCCAACTGCTGCCAGACCGGCTGCTGCCAGCCCAGCGGCTGCCAGGATAGCTGCTCCCAGCCCAGCTGCTGCCAGACCAGCTGCTGCCARCCCAGCTGCTGCCAGACCAGCTGCTGTCAGCCCAGCTGCTGCCAGACCAGCTGCTGTCAGCCYAGCTGCTGCCAGACTAGCTGCTGTGGATCTGGCTGTGGCTCTGGCTGTGGCTCTGGGAGYGGAATTGGAGGTGGCCAGGGTGGAGCCATGAGCTACCGCATCAGGTGGTGCCGCCCAGACTGCCGCGTGGAGGGCACCTTCCTGCCACCCTGCTGCGTGGCGAGCTGCACACCCCCCACCTGCTGCCAGCTGCACCATGCCCAGGCCTCCTGCTGCCGCCCATCCTACTGTGGACAGTCCTGCTGCCGTCCAGCCTGCTGCTGCTACAGCTGCCCACCACCCTCTTGCTGTGAGCCCACCTGTTAAGAGCCAACCTGCTGAATCTCAACTTGAAGTTTCAAGTTTGCACTCAGACCAGGAACTAATTATCTCTTCAACCACTCCTGGAACACTAACAAATCCTTGACCCTTTATTTGGCTTTTGTTATGGGGGTTACCAAATAGTTGGGGCTCACAGAACTATGTTTCCACTCAGCACCGGAAAGACTTGGATCTCTCCTCTGAGGAAAACACAGATTTGACTGAAGAAATGAGAAAAGCATTTGTGATCTTCTGCAGATATTTGACCACACTCTCCAAAGCTCATTGAGGCGGAGCCCATGGAAGAACTMTCTCTTCTTTTCAGATACTTTCCCCTCTGCCACTTCACCATCCTGCAAATTGTAACTCTWATGGAAGAAGAAGAATATGCCAATATCTAATAAATTATATCTAATGGTGCAGCAAAAAAATCTCTTTTCTTTATTGTGTTTGTGATAGATATTTYACACAAAGTCACATGGAAGATTTCAATCCGTTTTTTTATCCCACACTATTCTTCTTGTTAGGAAATGTGATGAAGTATGGTGGATGTTAAGCCCCATAAAAATACGCAGTAAAGTCAATTACCCTAGAGTCTCGGAAATGTCCTAGGTTCTGTCACCACACATTGACTTCTCACAGTGCTTTTACAAATAAGAATGGTATAGAATCTAGAGCCTAAACGTGACTTATTCTTCAATCACAGTGTTGCAGGGGACAGGCGAGGCAGGACACCAAATAGAAAACTGAAGGTAGGCTTACTTAGCTATAGTCAGGTTCAGAGGGCAAAGCTTTCACTGTAATCAATCAATCTTCCTGCACCCTGAGGAGAGGCAGTTTAGAACTTTATACCCAGTGTGTAAGGGGAGGGGCTCAGAAGTTCACAGTCTGCAGAACTTACCCAAAAGCAGCTTTTTCTTTCACTGTTCTGGGCAAGTCAACCTTCCTTCTCTCCTCCTGCCAGTTGCTCCCATAGAGTTACCCAATTAGTAATTGTTAAAGGATCTGTCTTTTTTTTATTTTATCACACTTTGCATTTGCAAACACACTTCTACAAACTACAATACCGGATAAATGTTTGTGAAAAACCYGGAGTGCTGATCTCTTCCAGGCCAGAGGCCAAGTAAGATAGAGCAACAGGGAATAGAAAGTTTACCTTWTCGAACTCTTCTATAGAGACTCTTCTGCTGATAGTCCTAAGATCAATTATGGTGAAGATTTCTGGAGAAGCTTAGTCAAGAAAATGAAGCTTAATTTTCTGTGGAGCCACTACAAGAGGKATGAAATTTCAGACCATCTTCAAACAGTGGTAATATGTGCTAATAAAGCACATTTTTCTGTTTGTATGGAATCTCACAAGTTAGAGCAAGAGAAATATAAGGAGGAGAAAACTGAAAAAAATACAGTCCCAATGAGATGGAGTTTTTTACTCCAAAAAATATATATATATATAAAAAATATATATTATGTATATGAAAATATATTATGTATATATGCACATATATACACATATATGCATATTTATTATATGTAAACACATTTGTATATCATACACATACACAACATATTTATACACTTTTCAACCTAAGTGTCAGGAAATGCTTCATGTGTTTAGATGGTTTTTTAGACAAGGTTTAGGATTAATTCACAGTTCCCTGGACTTAAACTAGAGGGTACTGAAAGTATTTTTTTTTAATATAAAGAATAGCACTTTGGTTAAATTCACAACACTTCATTCATTTCAATGTGAATGAGAACTGGAAAATTAGAAAGCATAAATAAAGGTAACAAATAGTYAAAGAATCAACCAATCCAAAGAAAAACCTCTGAATGACAAAACAGTAGCAGAGACACATTCTATCCTCTTTCCCCCTTGATTCTAACTACTGACCACTTTTCAATATTACAACCTAAATAGTTCTTGCTGAGAAAAAATAAATAAAATAAAATTACAAGTGACTTTGGTAAAATGCAAATTCAGCTTTTCTTTTTTTTAATTTTTATTGTTGGTTGTTCAAAACATTACATAGTTCTTGATATATCATATTTCACATTTTGATTCAAGTGGGTTATGAACTCCCATTTTTACCCCGTATACAGATTGCAGAATCACATCAGTTACACATCCACTGATT